AATCATATATTATATGGTGGATTTGATTAATGGCACACAATGGACAAAACTAAACTTGTGATACTTTTTACTCAAACCGATAATCTCCCACAACACAATTGTTTTTGTGTGAATGTGCTGTACGTGTTAAACCGAACAGTGTGGTATATCATTAACTGTGCACAGAACTGGAATTTAATTACATACTTCACTCATGACCTTCAAAACATTCTCAATTATTCAGTGATCTTCGACATGTTCACCAAATATTTTGTGTATGTTACTCAACAGTTAACATTGGCAAGTGTAAACAACAAGTGACATAATTTTTGCTTCATATGATTACAATAAAGTTTTGAAAATTTGATGAGTATGGATTGAATTGACAGGTGACAGTTTACTAAATAGCCGGCTGTATAGACACTTCGAATATTGTTTGCATGAAATTTTTATTTCCTGACTGCATAATTATCTGTTACAATCATAATCACATTATAAAGTTAGTTAAATTTTCTTGGTGCGGGGGTGGGCACTTGCCCTGCTGCACTCTCCGCTGTGTACAGCCCTGTTTTAAATCTTATCGGCTATTATAATAAGTGATGAAATATTTCAATTGTCCCATGTCATCTTCATTATTCAGTTTCTTTCAAGAAAATACAAAATGTGAATCAAGTTTTTTCGCAGATACATGTACGCATCGCGTACCTATTTTTGAGTCCGCTCACGGCCCCGAAATACCAAATTTCCTTGAGATAGTTGCGGGCTCTCTTTATTCCTTGAGCCTGCCACGCCGGCTACCTGTTCATAGGCTGTTACAGCTCATAGATTGAGTAAACGGCAGGGTTCAATTAGCTTCAACCTTAAAGAGGTTTTTTTTGTTTCATCGATTTGATCCTTCAGAATAATCCGTGGCTGTCCATGGCACTGAAATAAATCGAAAAGTTGACAAAAACAAAACAGTAAAAACAACATTGCCGCTCGATTTTGCTGAAAGAAAGCTCGTTCTGCGCCCGCGTACGATCTTTTACTAGTCAGCGACGCTTTTCAATAAGGGGATTTTCTCGAGTTACCAATTTTGACCACGAATTTATTTTGCGGTAAATTTTATAAATTTCAAAAAAATCTTTAGTGTGGAAATTTCGCAATAAAATTTTCGCTTTTAAAAAAATTACACACTACAGAACTTTTTTTTAAACTTCACCACAGTTGCACAGCATCATTCCCTATTGATATATGAAATAAAAAAGATAGGTCACCGACATCGTTTTTGAGATAGCGGCACATTTATGGGTTAAATTGGAAGGCTTTATGCTGTCGTCATGTTGCCATGGGAACACTGACGTTGTCGAAATCTCAGTTCGAAATATTCCTTAGGTGACCAATATTGCCACCAAGTCAGAAAGAATTCGCGTTCTGCACGAATAAGCCTGTTTTACGGAATTATTGCGTAAACAAGAATAACTGTAGGGAGCCACCTTAAATTATATTAAAAAAATAGAAGATAAAAAAATGTAAGCATAATAGTATAAGATTCAGCTATTATTGAAGCTCTTGGCCGAATTCCTTCGACATCTTTTGATAATAGGGGATGCTATAGTGCTAAATTTGGGTTTGTCAGTTTGAATGTGTTTCATTGTTATTTAATCAACCAGTCACAAGCCCTGTTCATGTAGTTTGGCCTATAATTGCAAATAATCTTCATGGCAATATAATTTTAAAGGATTGTCTTTGCATGCTGAAGATCAGACAAGATAAATTTCGTTCGATGATAATCACATCTCCCGTGTACGTTTTTTGTAGGGTGAACTGGGTGATCTTTTTAGCGACATTGGTGAAGTTGTAGATTCATTTGTGAATCCGCCAACAAATGGTCATACTTATACTTATGGGTAATGATTGCCCAATTTTATAATTGGATTCTTCACTTACCGTGCTGCGCGCACAACAGTGGCGTGCTGGCGGCTCCTCTTGTTCAAGGGAGGCCAGCTGAAACTTTGATGCCCATTGTTATACATTTTCGAAACATTTAAGACAATTTAATACGCGCCCCTCTTTCCTTCACTCATTTAGCCCACTTTTAAGTATAGAATGGATGATTCCAGCTATCGACTATTTTTTTATCTGACAAGAAAGACGGAATCTATCATTATGGCTCGAAATTGCATCCTGAAATTAGTAAAATTGCAAAGTTTGGTTGCGAAATGTTGTAAAATACCAAAAATATAGCCCTGTGAGATTAGCAAATTTTGAGTATTTTAGTATTATATACGCGCGGGAAAATGCGTCACTTTCGGCTCAAAAGTGGTCCATTTTTCCGCGCGTAATACTATAATACTCAAAATTTGCTAATTTCAGAGGGTACAACATTTTGCAACTAAATTTGGCAGTTTTACGAATTTAAGGATGTTCGTTTAAGCTATAATGATAGATTTCTTCCGTCTTATCTGGATCAAAATTTAGTCTATAGCTGCAATCATCCATTGACTATTTTGGTTTCATTGCATGCAGTTTCAGCGCACCCGAAAAGCTTTTGCGCTCCCTAAAATCACTCTTAGGCCATGCTCCCCCCCCCCCCCCCCCCCTGAGCCAGCCAGCACGTCACTGACGCACAAACATTGAACGAACAGCGTTTTGTATAATACTCGTTCGCGCGTGTATAATTATATGCCGTTAGAATAGGTAACTTAAGTACGCGCTATCAGTAATCGAAATTTACACCAGTTTGCACTCTACAACCGGAATAGTAGATTCCGAAATTTGCTATTCCATTTGAAGGTTCACTAAAGCCCTGGGGCCGGTTGTATAAAAACGTAATTAGCGCTAAATCCTTAACTGTAATTAGTTAACTACATGACTTAACTGCGTTGCACAAAACGTAGTTAGTCGGATAGTTAACTAATCACGTAGTTAACTGTGCGTGGGGCGTTTAAACACAAAATTACATAAAGTAAGCAGCGAGTAACGACCGCTGACACACATTTTCCGACATGATTTTGGACTCGTATTTTGCAAATAGGCGGGAATTTTATTCAAAACACTAGAAAACAGTGAAAAATATACAAGAAAACAAGGAAAAACCGCAAAAAAAATCATAAAAGAATGCAGTTTTTCCTTGAGATGCCGACGTTAAACCAAGGTATAGCTGTTGGGCAATTATATATCAGTGTTTCTTGGTGTAATGGACCATACTTCGTCTTCGAGAGATTGTCCTGTGCAAAAATATGTTCTGCATGTTTTCGTAAAAACACCAAAGCGTTTGAAGAGTTTATATTGTCAGGAAACATTCACAGGGAAGATATCGATAGCGATTGAAAATCTCAGGTAACCGTTGCTTTTCATTGTTGTTTTACTGAAAAATGTTGTTCACTCCTTACAAACGCCATTTTTAACTACGTTTTGGACAGTTAACTATACCCTAAAGCATATAGTTAACTTTAACTACTTTTTAACTGCAGTTAAGGCTAACTACACTTTTATACAACTGGCTTAACTACGTGATTAAAGTTAACTATTTTTTAAGGCTTTTTAATTACTTTTTAACTGCAGTTAGCGCTAACTACGTTTTTATACAACCGGCCCATGGCCAAACGAGAGTGAGAGTTGGTGAGAGTTGAGAAGCTAGAGTTTACATCGGAGTTTTCTCTTAACATTTATGCCCCAGCCAAACGAGTACAAGAGTAATTAGAGTTGGTGAGAGTTTTGTTTATAATCATAATCAGTTGACTGGATATTACCGCGTAAACTCTCATAAACCCTCATCAAAATTTGAACCGTGAAAGTTGACGAGAATGTGCATGAGAATCGACGAGAGTTAGCGCGAGCGAGATCTCGTTGAAACTCTCATCAACTCTCAGGAACATTGCATTAGACGAGACTCTTGGTTTATAAATAAAACCTTGATAAGAACAGAAGCGTTTGTTTTGTTTTGTGTTTTGTTTTTGTGTTTTGTGTTTTGTGTTTTGTGTTTTGTTTTGTTTTGTTTTGTTTTGTTTTGTTTTGTTTTGTTTGTCTTTCATGTTTCTTGAGATAAAGTTAAACCCCAGTCAAACGAGAATGACAGCTGATGAGAGTTGCAACTCTCGCTCGCGGTTCAAATTTGAACAGGTTCAAATTTTGATTCACTGGCACATGCCAAATCCCGTGTGCTTCGCTGACGTTTCCGAACTTTTGCGTATGTTGTGACGTATTCCGAACTTTTGCGCATCCGGACTTTGGGGTTTCATAGAGAGATTACATTAGAGACCTTACGATTTTAGGACGGCGTCACGGCAACGCGACGACGATGGCCAAAACAAACTCCTTCCAATAAATGGTAGTAAAAATAATTCGTCGTATATTGTCAATCGTACGTATTTAATACAGTCTTAGAAGTTGAAGACATGGGTTTTATGTTTGGGAAGAGTTCTGCTGTACCCAGTTTGAAGTTCCACTTATTGCGGCTTGAAATGCAGCCGTTGTATCAAGACGTGAAAATCTGTGATTTGGCGTTGTAAACAGAGCGAGGACAATTGCTAAATTATTCATATGGGTATAACCTGTCATTTATCTGACAAAGATTGTAAAATAAAATATTGTAATTATTCAATTCACTTCAATGATTTATTGTATTGGTAGCCGTTGACGTCCTAAATCGTAAGGTCCCTAATATGGTATTTATGGAACAGGTATAGCGTAACTTTCGACCTTGGCTCAGAGCCTTGACTAGTAATCTCCCTTATGCAGAATTTAGCTGGGATATTCAGCAGAATTCAGCTTTTTTTCCAGCAGTATTTCATATTTGCTAGTTTATCATTGAACATTGACCTCAAGGCAAGATCCCGAACTCGTTCCAATTTCCTTTTCTTTTGTTGCTTGCACAACAAGTTAAAGTGTAACAATTTGTTGTTTCGTTTAGTTTCTATAGTATAGCCACTTACGTATACGCTTTAAAATATATTTTGTTTACGTTTGCTATTTTTTAACAGTTGCGTGACATAAAACTAAGATTATATTCGGGTTGTTGCGTAATTTTGGAAACGGGTAACTCGGTTTTTCTCAACAAGTACAACATGTTTTCTTTAGGTTTGTGCGTTTTTACACTTTGGAGGAAGCTAAAGACGCTGTCAAAGAGAAAAATACAAAAGTTATTGGAAGCAGACACATAAATGTGGAACTGTCCTCGTCCACCAGACGTAATCTGCAAACAAACACAGACGAGGAAGGTATTGGTATATATAGATAGATAGATAAACCTTTTTCTAGCGTCGGATCTACTTTTATGTGCAGGGAGGGTTTTCCATGGGCTGGTTTTCCATGGAGTGGTACACGAGGGTGCCTTACTAGCTGCCACCACTGCTGCCACTCTCTTCTGCAGGCTGCAACGATACTGTCCCAACATTACCATTATTTGAGATGGCCGAATCCACTTGTTCGCCATACGTTTTACATCATAAGTCTACATGGACTTTTTATCAGGTGTGCGTAACGGGACATGCAGTTGCTGTAGCACAGTACAGTAAATTTGCTTGTTACCTTGAAAATGATAAAGAATTGCCTTAACAAAACAAGGGTGGATTTCGTTCTCGACAAATCAGCGCATTTGTTTACATTTTGGCTCTAAACCAATCAGAACGCGTAAATCAAGAAATTTATAAACAAACACATGCAGGCAGTCACTTTCGACCTTCGTTGCAAGTGGATTTTTAATATTTTTCATGAAATCAAGATATGTTGTTCAAAAGGAATTTCTACTGAGATTCCTCGCGGCGATTTTTGATTTATCGCATTGTTACGAAGATATAGGCCTTCAAACTTTGCCTTGCACAAGCCTAAACATTGCACATTGCACAAACACCGAACGAAATTCTTTCGCAAATAACATTCTGATTGTTTTTTTTGTGAATCGTTTTGAACTTTTCATTCTACACACAAAACACTTTCAAAGTTCGTCACTTGTTTCTACTCACCTGATTTTAAATTTAGTCTAACGACGAGTGGTCAGATGGCGTTGATGGCTCTAGCCTGCAGATGGTCAACTTGAGAGATTAATTCGGTTTAGGTGAATTAGCCTTTCTCACGATGACGAATATCCGCCATTTTTGGGTGGCATATGTTAACCAATGCAGACAATTAAAACAAAGTGAAAGGAATTTTTCAAAATAAACTAACCATTTACAAAGCAAATGTACCATCATTCGTACAAACAATTATAAACAGTCGCTGTTATGTGGACTTATCTCGCAGACTTCGGCCAAAAAGCCACCCAAAAATGGCGGCGTGAGAAAGGCTAATTTGTCGAAGCATTTGCTAAGTTTGATTAATACAGATAGTTATTTAATATTGATCCTTTCTCACACGAAATATTTTATAAGCGGCGATGGATAAAAAACCTTTAGCGCGTGATAATATAAACCTTAAGCTCAATTAAAATGACAAAAATACAAACAAATATAATTATAGACCATGAGTATTAAGTTGTATATATAAATGATGTTTCAACGCATGCATGTGTGTCTATTCGTTCATGTTTAAACTGTAAATTAAACTGACACTCAGTGAGGGAATTTAGTACGAGTAAAAATCCTACGACTCTATCCGCGTTTTCGCTCGAGTTTTCGCTTGCTCTGAGATTCAATATTGTTGGCCGTCTATGATATGGCATAGCATACCGAGCATACTAGCCTACATATAAGAAGGTCGCACACGACGACGCGGTACTAGGCTATATATGTCCCGACTCCTATATATATCATTATGGAGGTACTGACACAGTATAGGCTATAGCACGAAAGATTGCACTACAAATTATTCCTTTTTAGGATGCGCCAGTTTTATATTTATAAACAACAAGTTGATCTTCTGCTGACATGTTTGTACTGAATCAACTTGTTGTTTATAAATATAAAACTGGCGCATCTTAAAAGGGAATAATTTGTAGTGTATGCAATCTTTCGTGCTATAGCCTACACTGTGTCAGTATACCTCCATAATGATATATACAGGAATCAGGACATCAGATAGCCTAGTACAGCGTCGTCGTGCGCGACCTTCTTATTTGTAGGCTAGTATGCTCGGTATGCTATGCCATATTATAGACGGCCAACAATATTGAATCTCAGAGCAAGCGAAAACTCGAGCGAAAACGCGGATAGAGTCGTAGGATTTTTACTCGTACTAAAATTCCCTCACTGAGTGAATTTTAACAGTTTAAACATGAACGAATAGACACACATGCATGCGTTGAAACATCATTTATATATAACTTAATACATGGTCTATAATTAGATTTGTTTGTATTTTTGTCATTTTAATTGAGCGAAAGGTTTATATTATCACGCGCTAAAGGTTTTTTATCCATCGCCGCTTATAAAATATTTCGTGTGAGAAAGGATCAATATTAAAAAAACTGTGTGTATTAAAGTGATGCTAAATACCAACTTCGAACGAGAATTGAAAATTTAATATCCTTTTGCACTTCAAGAGTAGCTAAGTCGGTAAAAACAAGGAAGCCAATCAACTGTTGTTACTTTAATATTTTGATTGTCATGTTTTCAACACAAACAAAGATGGGCCATTCAATATTCTTAACAAATAACAATTCTAGGTTTGATTTCTATTTTTCGGGCAAATATTTACTGATTTTTGCCGAGGATTTCTGTTCGTTATTAGTAGCTATCGGTCAGAAAGGCACGTTTTACGCAATAATTATTGCAGTAATACTTTCACACCCCCCCCCCCCCGGTTTTTTTTTTCCGAATTTTTAACAAATTAAGAATTTTTAGTGTTCCGGTGTTCCGTGTTCCGGAATGATGCTGTTCCAGTGTTCCGGTGTTCCGTGTTCCGGTGTTCCGTTGTTCCGGTGTTCCTGGTTTTACTAATA